CTCGTCTCTTGCATCTCCTGCATTGGCGGGTGGGTTCTTTACCACTTCGCCACCAGGGAAGCCCAGAGACTAAATCCTGTCTAAGTGAGGTAGCTCATTATTAGAACGACAAACCAAGAGCCCCAGAGCAGCAGATGTATGGCATCTCTTGGCTGGCAAGGGCTATATTACAATCTTTCCCTTAGTTCAGAGAAGCGTCCTAAACGAAATAATGTGAAGAAACATTCTTCCAGTTAATGAGTACTGTTACCATCAATTATTTTTACAACAAAAATAATACATGTTTTCCCTCAAAGATTAAAAATTCTGGGCATGAAAAGGAAGCTATTCTCCCTTAATACTCACATTCTGTTTTAATCTTTGGCAATGAGATCAGAATGAGACTTTTAAAAAGCAGATGATCCATATATTCTTCTGAGCTCAAATAAGTTTTACAGATACAGAGAACATTTTAGGAAATCTAGGACAAAAATCCTATTAATATTCATCACTGTTCTGCAGATTATAGATGGGATCTGTGATTCATTAAATTCCCTCCTTTCAAAAAAAAAACAACACAAAAATGCCACCATGACTTAGTTCATAGGCGTGAATTGATTCAACAGGGGACATCAACATGATATGATAAAGGAAGAGGCTGGACACAGAGAGATTTCCATGTTGCAAGACACACACATTACTCTCTTGTTCCAGAAAAAAACAACAAAAACCTCTGCCTTGAATGGTTCAAGTTAGAGGGACAGAAAAACCAAATAGGAAAAGCATTTATCTTGGCAGCATATTAGAAAATTATATTCCAGAAGATGTTCACACTTCCTTTCATATTATAAATAAAGGAGATATTTTGCCAAAACTCAAAAACCCATTTAAGGTCTTTCTCTATTGTAAATTCAGGTAAAGAATAGTACTGTCCAAGAGAACTGTAACAAGCCACATACGTAATTGAAAATTTTCTAGTGGCCACATTAAAAACAGGTGAAATCAGTTTTTAACATTTAATTTAAACCAATATGTCCAAAATATTATCATTTAAAATGTAATTAATATAAAAATTAAGATATTTTATTTTTTCATAAGTCTTCAAAGTATGAACCATATTTTAAATTCACAGCACATAACAAAGTCACCCAAGTACATTTCAAGTGCCCAATAATTCTACGTGGCTTGCTGGAACCACACTGAGCCGCTGTTCTGTACTATTGAGCTTTCATTTCCATTACATTAATGATGATAGATATTTGCACTAGAGCTTTTTCAGTGGAAAGTCTGGTGACAGTGAAGTTTATGATTATAGAACCCAAAAGGATGTATATTACAAAAGTGTGGACTGCTGTTTTAATAAAAAAAAAAAAAAAGGTCTAAATCTTTGTGCCGTTCATTGTAAGCAGTACCAAGTTTTCAGTTAGTATGCTTTCAAACGCCAAGGTCCCTGGCCTAAGAAAAACACTGCCCCCTGATTAGCAGGGGCCTCAGAAGACTGTACTGTACTTTCTTGTTCTTATACCTGCCAACCAGATATGAACACATTCACATCACTTTGCTGACAAAGGTCCATAGTCAAAGCTATGGTTTTTCCAGTAGTCATGTACAGATGTGAGTTGGACCATAAAGGTCGAGTACAAAAGAACTGATGCTTTCGAACTATGGTGCTGGAGAATACTCTTGAGAGTCCCTTGGACTGCAAAGAGATCCAACCAGTCAATCGTAAAGGAAATCAGTCCTGAATGTTCATTGGAAGGACTGATGCTGAAGTTCCAATACTTTGGCTATTTGATGCAAAGAGCTGATTCATAGGAAAAGACCCTGATGCCAGGTTAAGATTGAGGGCAGGAGGAGAAAGAGGCGACAGAGAATGAGATGGTTGGATGGCATCACTGACACAATGGACTTGAGTTTGAACAAACTCCGGGAGATAGTGAAGGACAGGGAAACCAGACATGCTGCAGTCCATGGAGTCACAGACTTGGACACGACTTAGTTCCAAACAATAAAAATCACAACGTACTGGGTTTATTCACATGATGGTGGTATTTCATTCAGTTTAAGAATTATTTGATTATGAGTATAGGTTCAATACCATCTCCTTAAACTCAAAAAAAATCATTCTGGTGGAGAAGGGGTGAAGAGGAAAAGAATAGCTTTACTCCTTTGCTGGGCAAAGGGGGTCTTAACAGGCTAATGCTTTCAAACTGTGTGCCCCACAAAAAAATTATTTAAATGTCCTTTTAAATACTTAAAAGTATTTAACATCATTTTGGCCTATTGCTGTAAGCCTATTCTATATTGACATACAAAGGAATTGTGCATAAATAAACATGCAATGAACATAAAGGTTTTCTTCTGGTTTTATTCTGCAGCAGGAAAACAAATCACATTAATTTCCTACCAAATAACTGGAATTGATGAGCCTTAAAATTACCTCAAAGAAGGAACACTTTGAGAGTATATTTGTGTGTGTGTGTGTGTGTGTGTGTGTGTGTGTGCGCTCACTTGTTAAGTTGTATCCAACTCTTTGTGACCCATTAGAGAGTAGCCCATAGGGCTCCTCTGTCCATGGGACTTTCCAGGCAAGAATACGGGAGTGGGTAACCATTTCCTCTTCCAGGACATAGAGAGGTTTCCAAGGTACATCTTCTCTAGGCTGAGATGCTGAGGAGTTGAAAATTAGCACATAACACATAGTTTATGCATTTAACTTTATTTCCTCCAAATAGAATAAAGGTTCACATGCTTTTTTCATAATTCTGGAAACAGTTTCAGAAGAATTTTTACTCTAAATATGGTTTCTACTTTAATAGTCAAGCATTTACCAATAAAACTAGAAAGAACTTTCAAAACTTAATTAAAAAAAAAACCACACACACACACACACACACACACGCACACTAGAAAAAATGGTATTAGACCAGGAATTCCCAAAGTAAAACATATTTGTCGTATTAGTAATCAAATAATGAAACTACAAGATACCATTTTACACTCCTCAGCTTGGCAAAATGTTGAGTCTGATGATCATAAACCCTGGTGAGATCGAGAGTACCAGAAATTCTAGTACCCCAGTAGGATTGTCAGTAGGTACCATTACTTTGGAAAACAACTTAGCCTTGTCTATTTAGGTTAACAATGCACCTTATATAGCACATGTAATATAGCAATTCCATTCAAGGTTTACATCTACATGTGTATGTGCCCCAGAAATCACAAGAATGTTCACAGCAACATTTCCTTTTCTATTTCAAAGAAAGGTGTTTCCATATGGAGAAGGGAAAAACTGTGATATATTTATACAGTGAACTAACACTTAGCAGTGAAAATAAAGTAGGGTACTTGCTCGGAGAAGGCAATGGCACCCCACTCCAGTACTCTTGCCTGGACAATCCCATGGACGGAGGAGCCTGGTGGGCTGCAGTCCATGGGGTCGCCAAGAGTCAGACACAACTGAGCGACTTCACTTTCACTTTTCACTTTCATGCATTGGAGAAGGAAATGGCAACCCACTCCAGTGTTCTTGCCTGGAGAATCCCAGGGATGGGGGAGCCTGGTGGGCTGCCGTTTATGGGGTCACACAGAGTCGGACACGACTGAAGCGACTTAGCAGCAGCAGCAGGGTATTTGCTTCAAAATGATTATGCCCAAAAGCAATGAACATAAAAACGAAGGCGGCAGAAGAATACAGTTGAATTCCATTCATTCAAGATACGTACATTTAGGTATCTACACAAAGGTAAAATAAAAAACAGAAAGGTTATGATCAGCACAGCATTCAGGATGGTCTCCCACTATTAAATGGAGATAGGACAGGGTCAGGGAAAACCACATGGTGCCACACAGGAATGGCAGGAAGCTGCTGGCAGACACTACCAGGTTTGTGTATTTTTCTTTACTTGTCAGCGTGTACATATTACATACGTGTGTGTGTGGGCGCGCGTGCATGCTGATTCCACTGCAGGTATGAGAGAACTCAAAAAACCAGAATGGCTGAAACATACAAAGAAAAAGTTATACACCACGTTTCGAACGAACCATCACCTAGAACCCTGAACTTATCTGTCTCTCGAATCACCACCCGCTATCCTTGCTGTGAATGCTTCTCTGTTTCTCTCCTCCTGGAGGCCTGAGACTATTGTCCTGCTCAGACAGTCCCCCTCAGGTTCTAGGGGTGCAACACACTGATTAACCAGATGACCAAACTAACCTGGCCTGCACCGCCAGAACACTAGCAAGTTTCAAAACCTGGGTTACAAGTAGGCGGGGATTTACTTGGCTTCCCTGGTTTCACAATTTAGCACATTTCTGGAAACTGACGGCCTGTTCTCTATCTCCTCCTTCGCCTCCCTCGTCTTGGTGTCTAAGGTTAGAAACAGTTCAGTGATGCACTTAACTTCAGACGCTGCCTTCAGAAATGTCTTCTGCTTTCAGAGGTGGCTGCAGCAAATGGAGCCCTGCTATTCCAGGTTGTTGCTACACTACTTTTTCTTTTTTGCACAAAATTAGGGAAGTGATGGAGAAGGAATGGCAACCCACTCCAGTATTCTTGCATGGAAAAATCCCTGGACAGAGGAGCCTGGTGGGCTACAACCCGTGGGGTTGCAAGAGTCAGACATGACTTAGCAACTAAACCAACCAACCAACCAACGGAAGAGAATCCACAGCCCAGCGCTTCAGTGTACTCAGGAAACCAGTGTATTTGAACCAAGCAAGGGGTGAGTGATTTAATGCCATTCTTGGTCCTGGTCACTGAGATGATTCTGCAGTCACCTCCAACACACACACACACGATTCTGCAGTCACCTCCAATACACACACACACACACACACACACACACACATATGTAAGTGTCTCTCTGAGTGGTCAATGAGCCATATGCATTTTTACAACTAATCTACAGCTTTCAATATGGGTTGAGCAGCCCAATTAAATAGGAAGGTTCAAACAAACACAAAAGTAAAATTAGAAAAGGTATAAGACATGGTAGGGAATAAAAACTCCATTTTCAGACTGTGTGTTTTCTGGAATTTATTCCTCTTTAATGCTGAATATAAAATCTGAGATTTAACCAATGCCTTTAGAGACAAATGCATACAAATTGAAATCTAAAAACAATAATTTTGCAGATCAAAGTGGGTCTTGAGACTTTAGAAAAGATATTAAATGAAAAGCATCTGTAGAAAAAGCAAAACCCTATATAGCAGAATCAAATTAAAAAAACAAACAAAACAAAACAGCAAGAGGCTTTGGTACCCTTTAACAACAGAGAACAAATAAGTTTAGTTCATTATTAAATTCATGTAATATAAAAACATCTACGTGGGAGTGTTGGATAAATCTATAAAACAGAAACAAATCTAAAATATATTAGAGCCTGAGAGAAAAAAAAAATCTTCCTTTTCTCCTCTTTGATTTTAACAGAACACCAGAATCTGGAAAAACAAGTACTTCCCCAAATAAATTTTCTTCTGGTCTGCATATACCAAGCAGGATGGCACTCTGTATTTTGTCTAATTTTAAAAAGGCATAATCTGATTTTTAGCAGCACATTTCCTTTGCTCCAACAAGCCTGCTACAGGAAAGAAAAATTCTGTCTTGAAATGCTCCTGATATAATATCTATATCTACAATTCCCATCCACTTCTTTCCTAGGTGATTATACAGCTCTAAAGGCAGCTAGTTAAAGAAGGGATGAAGAAAATCATTATGTGTTTGGACTTTAGCTGGTAAAACACCACAAGTAAGGGCATGATATTATCTGAACACAGTGTGGCTCAGGTAAGCCCAGATAGCAATACCATCTGGACTCCACAGAGCCTGGATACCACGGGAAATACCACACAATGTGCTTCTAAGCTCACTCGTAACAAGCACAATACCAGCTCAAGCTGGTCTCTCCTATTTCTCTGCTGATCAAAAAAAAAAGTACAGGTGAGGGTAGATGGTGTGTAACTGTCGTAATAATTTAGCTCTCCTATTCATCTAGTCTGCTTAGGAGAATCTACTACAATCAGAGTAATTCAAAGGTTTTGAGACAAACAAGTCTGAGTAGCTTTCTTGGTCTGGCAAGTATTGTATTGATCCTATGACCCCAGAATTTAACTCCCAAAGACTCACTCTTACCAAGTTGCTTCTTGGTACTCACTGGCAAGAGCAGACAAAATGTAAGTTAGATCACGGTAACATTAATGTTTTAAACTGCTGTATCTTAAAAAGAAATACTAAGTCTTATCAGACTTTAACACAATACCCAGTTCAAAAACAATTTCCTGGATAGTCCCTGGGATTTATCAAGTGGAATGTGACCTGGATTGTATTTAATGCCAAATAAGCAGTCATACTCATGATTTCACAGAAGCTTTCCTTGGAGAGAAAACTGTGGATTATGTGTCTGTTCCAGTCAAGTAGGAATCAGTGGAATGCTTTCCTTCTGGTTGTAGTCCTGGACTACAAACCTCAGGCTGGGGATGTCAGCTTTAGCATTCAACAGGTTCTTAAGAAGAGTCCACATTTGGCAAGTTGGAGGGAGAGAGAACACAGGTGATAGAAGGCAATTCTTTTGTTCTTTTCCTTTCTTACAAACGTCCTGCTCAGAATCTAAAGGGCAGGTCCACCATCAGGATGTTGAGAATAGCAGAATATCTTACACAGTCCTCTGAGAGCTTATCCTATGCAAGACTATTCCTGGATTTGGCAACTAAAAACTCTTAAGAAGTGTGAGCAGGGACAAGGATGCAGTAAAAGGAGCCTCTGCCTTAATGAAGTAGACAGGTTCAGTATTTATCTGCATCCACTTCAAAGGAAGCAGAGACTTCACATGCTGTGTACTATCCAGAGTGAATCTCTGACAGCCTCTTTCTTGTACACACTCTGTTCTGAAAAATCACTGGTGCTCATACATGGAATAAGAACATGTACCTACGTTTCTCTGAAAACCTGGGACTGCGCACTGGTCAGAAATACGAGTTGGCAGAGTGAGAGGACCAGTGAAAAGTAACACAGGAAAAAAAAATTAAAATGTATAGCAATATTAGTTATTTTTTTAATATGCCTCATCAAGGGTTCCCAAAATACATCTAACCAAGATCTTCCTTTCTCAAAAAATATAATCCTTTCACAAAATATATAAGCAGCTACTAGTTAGGGGAGCTGCATTCAAAAATATATGTGCACTTATGCATACTAAGTTGCTAGAGCTGAAATGCTTTCAGATATGAGTCAGATAATGTCCCCTATAAATTTACTATCTAATTAGTGCACCTCTTGAAATATACCTTTTATGCAATCTTATGCATTAAGTGAGACTTGCCCCTTGAAAGAGATAAAGAAGCATGTATTTTTCAAAATAGCAATTCTTTTCATCCCTATAACTCTGTTCTGATCATATACGGTAATCAACTACGATTTCTGGACACATCAGGAAGAGCTTGGAGGATTTATAGGGGTAAGAATTTCCATCACCAAAAGGAGGCTAGAGCATCTAACTTTTTCTACAGTTATGACAAAGCACTGGAATATTTGTGATTCTGCAGCCAAGACCTCCAGCCCTTTGTCAACCAACATTGCTATTTTTCTTTCTGATCAAAATATTCTAAAAGCCTGGCAGACTAATTTCAAGGATATCACCTAGGTAGTTAGAAGAGAAGCAGGTTTGAGCAATCCTGGCATCAACTACAAACCAGGGCAGACCCAGTATTTTCTCTCTGATGGTGCCACCCGCTTATCACTCAGATTCAGGAAGCACACCTCGAACAGGTGACAGTCCCTCTGGGTAAACTGAGGCAACTGCAGGTAACTCTGAAAATAAGGAAAAAACCCACCACAGTCCTGATTTGGTTTAAAGCAATCATGCAATCCCATTAGACCCAAGTCTTCCCCAAACACCTTTTCCATGGCAAGCAAAGTTACTGATAACGCATGTGGCTTCTGTCACAGTGATGCATTAGGTAAGCAGGTGTGCGCCAAGTACCAGAGGGGACTCTGAAATGCATCTCCATCTCTTCCACTTGTCTTCGCTAAGGTTCTGCCTATTTATTTAAAAAAAAAAGAAAAAGAAAAAAAGCTAGTTATTGCATTACATGGAAAAGAAAATCTACCCTGGCAAGTGATCTATATTATTTATTCATTTAATTTATTGGCCACACCATGTGGCATGTGGGATCTGAGTTCCCCAACCAGGAGTTGAACACCCAGCCCCTGCACTGGGAGCATGGAGTCTTAACCACTGGACCCTGGCAGTGATATCTGAAATGTCAGGGAACAGAGAGGCTGGGAATCACAATAAATCACCCTCATGTGATGGGTAAGAGCGAATCCTAGGTTTCAGGATCAGAGCCCAGATTTACGTCACATGCACCTGACCTGCCAAATAGAAAAGGGGAAAGGAAGCCACCTGTTTTCAACACTGATGAAACGCCTCTTGCACCTGGGTGAGTGGGGTGGGGGGCAGTTACCTCCCCACTCAGGGGCCCCGCAGAGGGTAACCCGAGGGGAACAGCACCACGCCTATTGGTGAGCAGCTGATACCCTGGTCCCCCGAGCCACCATGACCCAACCGCTGGGTGGCTGACCCCCAGTGTGGGCGGGGGGTGGGAGCTCTGAGAGGAGCCTTGTGTTGGTTCAATGCCCAGGGTTTACGTGGCTACATGTTTTCAGTATCAGCCCTGAATGGGGGAGATCCAAAAGCAGAAACTTCTATTTCAGGCTCTGTTTTGAGTTTATTATGAGAATGAGGTTGATCATTTCCTTTGAAAATTATTCGTGAAAAGGTCTTTTCTCATAGGGAGGTACCACAGTGAGCTCCAGACATCCAGAGGAGGGTGTGCCTCCGCTCCCCTACTCCCAACCAGGGTTTGGACAATTCGAGGAATAGAGAAATGTGGGAAATCAGTATTTTAAGTATCAGCAACTCACTTGAATTCTTTAAAAACGTACATGCAGCAGAGTGTCAGTAGATATAAGGATGTTTCTGGGCACTACTAAGAATGCAGAAAGTTAGAAGCAAACTTGGTATTCAACGTATTTATTATTACGGAGGGCACATTGGCTCCAGATGTGTCTGTCCTGCATGGATGTTTTTTTCTTTAATGTAATTAAATTTTATTCTGAAGCATGACTATATATCATCCCATTATACACACACATACACATCATATGGGATGGTACAGGCCACCATTCTGTGACCGTCTACCGCCCTGTGTCCCGTCCACTCTGAACACGGGCCAGTGTCTACACCTGGGTGCTGAATGTTCTTTTCCTGTTGAGCGTCTCTCCCCTCACTGTTCCACAGAGCAATCAGCTGCTTGGAGCCTTTATGTCCCGCGGTGGGCTAGCTCACCCTGTCTCTCATGTGCTTGTGCTGCAGAGAGGGGAGGGAAGAAGATAGGAAAGGAGGCTCCACCGTATAGTACAGCACACCCATGAAGGCTCCATCTAGGCCTTAAGAGTGTAGACTGTGTAACGGATTACTACCAAGGTACAAAATAAATACGGATCCCCAGGCGGCTCAGTGGTAAACAGTCCGCCGGCCAGCACAGGGGACACGGGTTCGATCCTGGGTCGGGAAGATCCCCTGGAGGAGAAAATGGCAACCCACTCCAGTATTCTTGCCAGAAAAGTCCCAAGGACAGGAGCCTGGAGGGCTCCAGTCCTTGGGATCGCAGAGAGGGGCATGACTGAGCACACATAAAATAACTAACTAGAAAGGGGGAGATGCTGATTTGCTCTTAAAGATACTTGTACCTCTCTCCTACAAAACTGAAGTGTGAGCTGCTACTAACGCTGAAGGCTTTGAGTGGTTCATGAGGGTAGCACGTACACTGCACCACAGCCTTCCGCCTGGGCTCCCGCTCACGTGTGATTCACTCAGAAGTCTGAAAATGGGGGTCGGAATGGGTGGGGATGGCCAGAGCCCTCACTGCTGATGGGATGGTCTCCTGAAATCAAGCAAACCTCAAGGGCATCAAAACCAACCTTGGGACTCCCCTAGTGGTCCAGTGGTTAAGACGCCAAGCTCCCAATGCAGGGGGCACGGGTTTGATCCCTGGTGAGGAACAGAGATCCCACATGCTGAGCAGCCAAAAATAAATAAATGAACTCGATGCCTGTGGTGATAGTTACACAGCCCTGTAAATGTACCAAAAATCGCTGAATTGTAAAAACAAGTGAAATGTACGGTATGTAAATGATAAATCCATTAAAACTTTTAAAACATAAGACCAACTTTAATCCCATGACCACAAGTTATGGGAGAAGGCATATTTTACAGATCATAGGTTTCCTAAAAAATTTCTAAGAGAATATAAAGATTTTCAAAGGGTAAAAAAAGTCAGCCCACAGAATCTCAAAGGAATCTACATCTTCGGGGAAAATGAGAACAAAGATGGCAAGCACACAGTATTTTTCAAAGATGTTTGCACAGACACTGTCCACTGGATTTATGCACCCATTAGACTGCTCTTATCCCAGTTTTTTCCAGTTCTTTGAAGATAAATCTGGATTGTTTAATATCTTTGTATGAAACACGTTATAAAAATACTTTCATTTTCCCAAGTATTCCAGTGTTCCATCTTTATAAAAATAGTTTTAAGAGCCTTTAAATATTTCATGTGTGGGTTTTGCCTCTGTTTAAAACATGCGCACAGAAACCACCCACCACCATCTGTGGACTTACTGATGTATAACAAAGCACAATTTCACACTGGCAAGGAACTACAGGTGCTGCGGTGTAATTTATATTATTGATAGTCTCTGCCTTCCTCCCACAGGTGTTCCAGAAATGGTACAGATCCCGGGTGGCCTCAAAAGACCTATTACTTATAGACATCAAAGTTCCCAGTAATGCCGTTTCATTTCAACTCAGTTTTAAAAATAGAGGCTTTAGAATTCAGTCTCAGTTTGAAATACAGTCAAAACCTCCATTGCCATGTACATAAAGACTGCAAGGAAATACATCAAAAATGTTTATGTGGTCTTCTCTGGTGACTTTTTATTTTCTACTTTATACATTTTGCATTTTCCCAATTTTTTAAAATGAGTCTAGGCTATTTTCATAATCAGAAAAAAAAAGTATTTTTGGAAGGGGAAATAACACTAAAAACATTATCTCATTTAACAAAGAAATGGTATTTTTTATTTTGAAAATGAATTTATGTGCTTTACAAAGTTACAATAATATATATCATCTATAGTTCTAAATGTTAGAAAAGCCTGAGGCTTTTACATTTTCTAAAAGACATCTGACACAATAAAGTGGCTTCAAAAAAACTTGAACTAGTTTAGGAATTACCCTTTTTTCAACGTTGACCATTTGTTATTGTAAATCATGTCCCTTCCAACGTAAATGACTTAAATAGAAGACCTGAAAAGCATGGCTTTGATTCTTTTTCAAAAAAGGTAAAGTAATGTGAGCGTGCACTTTAAAGTAAGAAGCACCTATGATTTTTTTGCTACCTTAAGTTTTTCTTGGAAGAAAGAAGTCCAAATTATGAATAAATTGAATTTTAAATGAAGATAAATTCTAATATACAGCAACAGTTAAAAATGAGAAAGAAAGAAAGAAAAAAAAAACCCAAAACTGGCATCTTTATGTGGCTTTACCCTGGGCAGTCCTAACTGTGCACCGAGAAAGCAAAAGCTGAAAACCTGGAGGACTGGCTGTACACTCCTTTCCCCGCAATCCCTAAGAACAACTCAAGAAAGACACATTTTAAAACAAGAGAAGATTAACCTACCTTTGACGCCAACTGTGATTTCAGGCCTAAGAATGAAAAGACTGTGTTGCTCTCCTTGGATTCAAAAAAACTGTCATAATCCTAGAAAAAGGAGAAGGAGAAAATAAACAAAGCAAACAACCATATTTGTACTTGGTGCTTTTGACAAAGTCTTTATGTCAATAAAAAATGAACCGCTGTTCCATCCAGGCCAGGGAAAAGCTACATAAATCTACTGGATTTGCTCTGTTTGAGTCTCAACATATGAGCATCATGATGAAGGCAACACATTTTTAATCCAAAGCCTGTGACAGGAATTAAAATGTAAACCATCGACAACAGAAAGGAAGTCAGAACATGCTCACTCGCGTGTCAAACTAACATTTATTTGTGTGGAGTCACTCTGACCCAAGATTTTTACTTAAGCATTTCAATCTGGAAAGCAGCCTCCCAATTCCACTCTTGATATTTTCTTATCTGGGGCTTTAAAAAAAAAAAAAAAATCACTGCGTAAACAGAAAAGTTGTAAAGGTTTCCATGTGTCAATGTGTGTGCTTCTATTCTGCTTTTGAAGTTTCTCCACATTCTTTGAGACTATGTCTTCAGAGAGAGGAAAAAAAAAGATCAAGTAAAACCTCAAGGAGGAAATATTCTCTCTAACATTTATCTTTGCCTCAGACACAGAATCACTTTTCTCTTCCTACTTTCGAGAGAGAGGCCATCAAGGGGTTCTGGCCAAAGTTTTCATCACTTGTTTTCTTTTCCAAAGTCTGCCTGTATAATAAATACTACACAGTTGCTAAGCGGATGTGAAGGGGGGGGGGGGGTCTTAAAATCTGACAGAAGTCCCTTGGGTCACTTTACGCAGAGAATAAACATCGCAAGCAGACAATGATCAGCATCAGTGGTAGGCATGTGCTCTGAGTTCACTGTCTTATCATCAGCACATCATTCAAAGGTGATTTCATAATTTTTAATGGGAGAGGTTTTTGCAAAATTATTTATTTGATTTTCGGTTGTGCTGGGTCTTCCCTGCTGCACACGGGCTTCTTTCTCTAGTAGCAGCGTGGGAGGGCTCCTCTTCGTCGCGGTGCACAGCTTTCTCATCGCAGCAGCTTCTCTCGTTGCAGAACACGGGCTCTAGGTCGCTTGGACTTCAGTAGCTGTGGCACATGTGCTTAGCTGCTCCACATGTGCTTAGCTGGCATCTTCCCGGAATGGAGGGGGAACTCGTCCTCCCCACCCCCACTGCATTCCGACCCCCCAAACCGCGCCCCACACTGGCGAGGATTCTTAACCACTGGACCACCAGGTTAAGTCCAGCATATCATTTAATCCCCACCACCAGGTTAGAAACTGGCTCAGAGCAAAGAATTATGGTACCCAAGCTCGACAGCTGATGCGTAAGAGGACTGAGATTTGGGCCCAAGTTTCATTGCTGCAGAAATCAATGCTTTTTGTATTCTACGAGGCTTCTTGCCCAAGAGGAAACCAGGTAAGGGGCACCCTGTACATGAGTCACTGAGCCCTAATGAAGTCGCTGCTGAGCTGGGTCAATGGCATTACAAATACTTCTGAAACCTGTCTAGGAATCTAAATGAGAGTCGATGACTCAGAGTAGAGACCTGCTTCTTGCAAAGCAGCCCTCGGTGGGTGAAAAATCTTTTAAATGACTTGCCTTTGCATAGGGACTCTGTTGTCCAAGTGTTTTAGTAAGCTGAGTCTCGTCTGGCTTAAAGGTAGCTTGATTTTTTGTGCCCAGTCATCCCAGCCCCAGGGATGCGCGCACAGCTCCTTCTGTAGATTTTGGAGCAGTCACTCCTGCCGTCATTCGGATCAGCCCTGAGGCTAGTCACCCCCAAAGAGCGGCCTTCCCTGACCATGCCAAGAAGGAGCAACACTTCTGAAGAGGGAGACTCTTCAGCAAATACTTCCTTGGAAAATGGAGTTTTAAGCTGAAATTTATTAGAATGAATAGGACTAGATAAGTGAAGGGCTGGGATAGAAGCCTTTGGGACAGGAAATAACACCAGGCAAGAGCAAAGCTGGCAGATATGACTGGGATCAGCATGTGCCAGACTTTGGAAAGCAAGAGAAAGATTCTGAATTTTACCATAAGTACAAAAGGAAATCATGTGCGGGTTCTGAGCAAGGGAGCAAGCAGAATGATCTATATAGTTTAAGCTCCCTACAAACAAACCTTCAAGTTGTGAACTTTCAAAGACGTGAATGTATGCTTGCATGTCCAATCACGTAAGTTCACATGTCTGGGGGACACTGTCCTGAGTATGCATCCTCTACAACTGGCTGTGCTTTTGTGTATTTATATGTGCTTTTGTGTACTTATATGTGCTTTTGTGTATAGAGTACAGTAAGTACAGTATCTTTATTCCAAGCACAGGATGCTGGAAGCAAGCATAAAAGCAGCGGTACACAGCTGATTGTGTTAGCTGGGTACCAAGGCTAACTTTGTTGGATTCATGAACAAAATGAACTTACGAACGTGCTCTCAGAACAAAACTTGTTCATATGTAGGGGACTTACTGTATTTCCTTTAAGAAAAAGCCCGTGTCAAGCCTGTGGAGAGTGGCTCAGAGGGAGGGAAGCAGGGAGAAGTGAGGCGCTCACTGTGGGGATTCAGGTAAGAGATGGAGGCAGTCTGAACCAGAACAATCGTAACAGGGATGGACAAAGTGGAAGGAGGAGAGACAGGGAGGAGGAATGGATTGTACTCAATTGGGGAACTGGCGTAGAGGTTTAGGGAGAATTATGAATTAAAGCAGCTCTCGTACAACTGATCAAACAAACAATATGGTTAAAAAATGGGCAGAAGACCTGAACAAACATTTTTCCAAAGACATAACAGATGGCCAACAGACACCTGAAAAGGTGCTCAACACTGATCATCATCAGGGAAATGTGAATGAAAACTACATGAGATATCACTTCACATCCATCAGAATGGCTATCATCAAAAAGACCACAAACAAAAAGCGTTGTCTAGGATGTGGAAAGAAAGGGAACCCTCGAATACTGTTGTGGAGAATGTAAAATGGAGCAAGCACCATGGAAAACAGTATGAAGATTCCTCAAAAAATTAAAAATACAACTACCATATGATCCAGCAATTCCACTCTCAGGTATATATTCGAAGAAGACAAAGACTTTAACTCAAAAAAGATTTATACATCTCCATGTCCACTGCAGCACTATTTACAATAGTCAAGATTTGACAGCAACTTAAGTGGCCATCAACAGATGAATGAATAAAGAAGATGTGGTACATATATACAATGGAATAGCACTTAGTCATAAAAAAGGAAGAAATTTTCTTCATTGGACTTGGAGGGTATTATGTCTAGTGAAATAAGACAGAGCAAGACAAATACTGTTTGATATCACTTACATGTGGAATTTGAAAAATAAAACAGACTGCGAAGTGTGAAAGTCACTCAATCATATCCACCTCTCTGTGACCCCATGGATTCTAGCCCACCAGGCTCCTCTGTTCATGGAATTCTCCAGGAAAGAATACTGGAGTGAGTTGCCATTCCCTTCTCTAGGGGGTCTTCTTGACCCAGGGATTGAACCTCGGTCTCCTGCATTGCAGGAAGATTCTTAACTGTCTGAGCCACCAGAAGCCCCAAACAGACTAGTGATTGTAACAAAAAAGAAAGACTCACAGATACAGAGACAAAAGCCAGTGGGAGAGAAAGCAGAGACAAGATATGGGTAGGGGATAGAGGGGTACAAAATACTATGTATGAAATAAATGAGCTGTAAGGATATATCATATACCACAGGAAATAGAGCCAATATTTTATAATAACGTAAATGAAGTACAGACATTACTTTGCCAACAAAGGTCCATCTAGTCAAGGCCATGGTTTTTCCAGTAGTCATGTATGGATGTGAGAGTTCGACTACAAAGAAAGCTGAGCACCAAAGAATTGATGTTTTTGAACTATGGTGTTGGAGAAGACTCTTGAGAGTCCCTTGGACTGCAAGGAGATCCAACCAGCCCATCCTAAAGGAAATCAGTCCTGAATGTTCATTGGCAAGGACTGATCTTGAAGCTGAAACTGCAATACTTTGGCCACCTGATGCAAAGAGCTGACTCATTTGAAAAAAACCCTGATGCTGGGAAAGATTGAGGGCTGGAAGAGAAGGGGACGACAGAGGATGAGATGTTTGGATGGCATCACTGACTCAATGGACATGACTTTGGGTAATCTCCAGGAGTTGGTGATAGACAGGGAGGCCTAGCGTGCTACAGTCCATGGGGTCATGAAGAGTTGGATATGACTAAGCGACTGAATTGACTGAACTGATAAATGGAGTAGAACCTTTAAAAATTGTGAATCACTGTTGTAGGCCTGAAACATACAATATTGTAAAAACCATACCTCAATAAAAAACATTTTTTTGGGGAAAAAAAAAAAAAAAGGAGGTCTGACCTTTGTGACTTAAGGGGAAAGACCAGAGGAAAAAAAGCAGGTTTGAGGATAAGGTTGAAGTTGACTTTCAAAATGTTAAATTTGAGAAACTGTATGAGACACTGAGTGAAGAAGATCTCAATGGAGCACTGGAAAGTTTGAAAGGACTCTAGGTATTACAGATCTCATAAAATTTTTTTTCATGGAAAACTTTTAATAAAAATTATATCTCAATTTGATGTGGAATTTAGGCAAAATTCCATGAACTGAAAATGTTGTTACTGATATTCTTTGTAACAAAGCAGGTCTAAATAGTTGAGTAGCATTTCATTGGCCCTGGTTCAGGAAATAATCCTGTTTGACACATACTTTCTCTACCTGATCATCTGTTGCTTATATTCACTGTGGTAACAGGAGGACGAGTGCTAAACTACATCCAGCTTGTCTCATCCTTTTAAATATCTACCATGTGAAAACTGGTTGATTTGTTTCTCTCCACACCATATTCTGCCACTACTTGATCTAAATTCTTTTCCTTATGGAATCTCACTCAAAGCCATGGTTCTAATTAAATTCAGATCCCTCGCTCTGATTCTCCTATCAACTCTGATTCCAAGTAAGCAACTGTTCATAGACTTATTAAAAAATATTTTTTTAATTTAAAAA